TTCATGAGTCTCTAAATTAGTAATTTCCCATGTCAAATTATAGGGGTTGTGGGGGTTTGGATCTACAGACAGAGTTTGCAGAACAATCAAGAGGAGGGCAAGTACCATAGTTACGGTTTAGTCCGTTGGCGGCCTAGGGTCAATTTTAAAGGATTGTCCTTAGTCCGGTCAACAGTCCAGGTTGTCTTTGAGGGTCCGATGAGGTCTGAGAACGGGTCCACCGGTTTGGCGTGGGTGTAATGGATCCAGGAGGCGATTCTGTCTACTTTGATGGCCGTAGGCATTGTCAGGATGACCTGGAAGGGTCCTTTCCACCTGGGTTCGAGTCTCCTGCCGATGATGTTTGACGAGGACCCAATCCCCGGGTCAGAATTGATGAGGAATAGGCGGGGGTCCAGTCTCATAAAGTTCTTTTAATTTGGGCCATACATCTTCATGGACCCTCTGCAAGGCTTGTAAGGAGAGCAAGAGTTCAAGACCATAATCGTTCTCAGTTTTGACAAGGTCATCTTTTAGGTTAAGGATGATGGGGGGTGGTCTACCATGCATTATTTCATAGGGTGTGAGTCCCAGTTTGTATGGGGAGTTACGCACCCTGAACAGAGCGTAGGGGAGAAGGACTACCCACTTAGCGCCAGTCTCCATGGTCAATTTGGTTAGGGTCTCTTTTAATGTTCTGTTCATTCTTTCTACCTGCCCTGAACTTTGGGGTCGGTATGCACAATGTAATTTCCAATCAACCCCAAGTATGGAAGCCAGTCCCTGACTTACCTTAGAGACGAATGCAGGTCCATTGTCTGACCCCATCATTACTGGAAAACCATACCTGGGCAGGATTTCTTCCAGGATCTTTTTGGCTACAATCTGCGCCGTTTCATTCTTGGTTGGAAAGGCTTCGGTCCATCCTGAAAAGGTATCTACAAAAACTAGCAAATACTTATATCCATATTTTCCTGGTTTTACCTCAGTGAAATCTACTTCCCAATAGGTCCCCGGTCTGCTCCCTCTTTGTCTTGCCCCTGATGTCTGAGGATTACTACTCGCATTGTTGAGTTGGCACACAGTACATTTAGTGACTACTTGATCAACCTTATCGGAGACATTTTTGATTCTCAGTCCAGTCTGTCTCATTAAATCTAACATTCGCCGGGAACCTAGGTGGGTGCTGTGATGGATCCGCTCTAGAACCTGCCATCCTAGCTTCTCTGGGAGTATAGTGTTGTTCTTGGAGTCTTTCCACCAGCCATCTTTGACTCGGGTCATAGGAAGTTTACTCATCCATTGAAGATCGCTTTCTGAATACTCAGGGCTGGGGGGCAATTCCCGGGGCCCGGGATCTGGCAGCTGTAGGGTCAGTAATTGCGCTGGGGGCCGAGCTATGTTTTTTGCAGTCCGATCGGACAAATTGTTGCCCTGGGAAACTGGGTCGGTTGTCTTCTGATGTCCTGGGCAATGCACAATTGCTAGCTTTTTGGGTTCCCATATGGCTGCTAGTAGGGCTAGAATCTCTTCTTTATTTTTGATGTCTTTTCCTTCAGCCGTGAGGAGCCCCCGTTCTCTGTGTATCGCCCCATGTACATGAGCGGTGGCAAAAACATATCGGCTATCAGTGTATACGGTTAGCTTGCGATCTCTTCCTAACTTTAGGGCCTGGGTTAAGGCTATTAGCTCAGCCTTCTGGGCCGAGGTTCCGGGGGGTAGAGCTTCTGCCCACACCACCTCGGTCTCTGAAGTCATGGCTGCCCCCGCACACCTTTGTCCTTGGTGAACGAAGCTGCTTCCATCGGTAAACCAGATGGCGTCTGCGTCTGATAATGGCTGATCCTGCAAGTCCTCTCGAATCCCATAAACCTGTGCCAGTATGTCAGTGCAGTCATGAAATGGGGTCCCCATGTCTGGATCTGGCAGCAGTGATGCTGGGTTCAGGGCCGTCGGGGGGGGGAGTGAAGATGATCCTGTGGGGGTTCAGTAGCAGTCCCTGGTAATGAGTGAGTCGGGCATTGCTCAGCCATCGGTCAGGCGGCTGTTTGAGGGTGCCTCCGATGGCGTGCGGGCTGGTGACTTGTAGTTCTTGGCCCATGGTCAGCTTATCAGCGTCTTTTACCATCAGGGCAGTGGCTGCAATCATCCGGAGACAGGGTGGCCATCCGGCGGCCACTGGATCTAACTTCTTAGATAGATAAGCGACTGGCCTGCGCCAGGGCCCCAAATGTTGGGTTAGCACCACCTTAGCTATGCCCCGGCTCTCATCTACATATAGGTGGAAGGGTTTGGAAACATTGGGGAGTCCCAAGGCAGGTGCTGATAGCAGGGCAGTTTTGATTTGCTGGAAGGCCTGTTCGGCTTCTTCCGTCCAACTAAAGGGTTGGTGATCTTTTGTTGCGTGGTATAAGGGTTTTGCTAGTTCAGCAAACCTTGGTATCCATAGTCTGCAGAACCCAGCCGACCCCAGGAATTCCCTCACCTGTCATGGTGTCTGCAGTCTGGGAATACGAAGGACGGTTTCCTTCCGGGCATCCGTTAGCCAGCGTTGACCCCCTTTCAGTAAGTAACCCAGGTAAGTTACCTCTGACTTGCAGATCTGAGCCTTTTTTGCTGAGGCGCGGTAACCTAAGGTTCCCAGAGTTCGCAGGAGACCTTCGGTTCCCTGGATGCAGGTTTTGGGCGTCTCGGCAGCTATCAAGAGATCATCAACATACTGCAGGAGAGTTATATTTGGGTGTTGTCTGTACTCACTTAAATCTTCGTGTAGAGCCTCGTCGAACAGGGTCGGAGAGTTTTTGCATCCTTGCGGTAGTCTGGTCCAGGTGAGTTGGCCATTTATGACCCTGTCTGGATCTGTCCACTCGAATGCAAATAGCTCTTGACTTTTAGGCGCTAGTGGTAGGCTGAAAAAAGCATCTTTTAGATCCAGAACAGTATACCATTGTTTTTCTGGGCTGAGGGCGCTCAAGAGAGTATAGGAGTTAGGAACGGTTGGATGTATGTCCATCACCCGCTTATTGACTTCTCTCAGGCCCTGCACTGGTCTGTATTCCCCACTGTTGGGTTTGCGCACGGGCAGCAGGGGGGTATTCCATGCTGAGTGGCAGGTGCGTAGGACCCCGAAGTCAAGGAGGCGGCGGATATGCGGTGTGATGCCATTTTTGGCTTCTGCGGGCATAGGGTATTGGCGCACGCGGACGGGGTCCATCCCGGGCTTGACCTCTATAAATAGGGCTGGGCGATGTTTTGCTAGCCCCATACCACCCGTTTCTGCCCACGCGTCTGGGAAGCGTTGAAGCCAGGGCTCGATACCCTGATCCAGAGGAGTGGGTTTCTGATGGAGCCTGTATTCATCTTCCAGTCTCACAGTGAGTACAGATATGGGTTGGTTGTGAAAGTCAGTCACTGTGGGTCCTCCCGGTTGGAAATGAATTTGGGCCCCCATTTTGGTAAGCAAATCCCTCCCCAACAGGGGGCAGGGGCTGTCGGGAATGACCAGGAAGGAGTGGGTTACCTTCCCAGTCCTTAAGTCTACAGTCCTTTGAGTTGTACAAGGGTACGTTTTTATTCTGGTGGCCTCTTGTATCCAGGATGATTTTTCAGATACTTTTCCATGGGGCTTGACCAGAACTGAGTGTTGTGCCCCGGTGTCAACTAGGAACTGGACCGGGATCCCCTCCACTTGCAACATTACCCTAGGTTCGGGGAGGGGATCCGAACCCCATCCTCCCTATTCTGTATCTTGGGTAAACAGTATGGGGGCTGTTTTAGGCTGCCATTGTCCTTGGCTGGGGCGGGGTTGTGTCTTCTTGGGGCATTCTCGTATCCGATGGCCTTTTTCTTTACAATAGGCGCATTGATCTTTATCTAAGTGCCGCCTGGGAGGGCGTGTTGTTTGAGTGCCTTCTGGGGGTGGCTGTTCTTTCTGGACTATAGCGGCCAGGACTTTAGTCATTTTCTCTGTGGCCTTGATCTGTCTCTCTTCTGGGGCGTCCCTGTTGTTGTAGACCTGTTGTGCTATACGGAGCAGATCCTGGATCTGTTTACCTTCTAAATCCTCTAGCCTTTGGAGTTTTGTTTTGTTTTTTTTTGTTGTTGTTGTTGTTGTTGTTGTTGTTGTTGTTGTTTTTTATGTCAGGAGCTGCTTGATTTGCAAAGGACATAACGACAGCAGCCTGGTTCTCAGGGATTTCTGGATTCATGGGGGTAAACTGTCTAAAGGCTTCCATTAGTCTCTCTAAGTAAGCAACTGGACTCTCTGTCTTTCCCTGTACGACCGAATATACCTTAGCCAAATTGGTGGGCTTGCGAGCAAGAGCCTGGAGACCCGCCATCAGAGTCTGGCGATAAATGAGTAGCCTTCCCCTACCTTCTTGCCGTGTTGTAGTCCCATTCATCCTATGGAGGTCTGGTTAGGGGGAAAGGCGCATTAATGAGGTCAGGGTTAGATGTCGGCTGACCGTCGTCTCCGGGAACCAGCTTTCTTGCTTCTAATCGGATCCTCTCTCGCTCCTCTGTAGTGAACAGGATGCGGAGGAGCTGCTGACAGTCGTCCCAGGTGGGCTGGTGGGTGAACATGACACTGTCTAAAAGAGCTATTAGGTCTTTAGGGTTATCAGAGAATTGAGCGTTCTGTGTTTTCCAGTTGTACAGGTCACTGGTGGAAAAGGGCCAATACTGGAGTCGGGGGTTGCCTGTTTCATCTGGGGGTCCTATTTCCCGCAGGGGTAGGGCCACAGTGGAGCCGGGGAGGCGAGGGTTTGGCTCACGCTGGGTGCGTCCGCGGGTTCGGCCGGCTGGCCCCTTGTGGTTGGTTTCGTTTTCAATGGGGCCCGGCGCGGCTGCTGCCTCCCGTCCTCCTGGTTCCGGCGCAGCTGCCGCTTCCCGTCCTCCCGGTTCCCCTAAGGGGGGCAACTAGCGGGGCGACTGGCGGGGCGGCTGCTGCGGGCAGGGCCTGGGGTACGAGGGGACGGGGATGATAGGATGGAGGGTCTAGGGATAGTAGGTCCTGACTATCGGTCAATATGGGATACAAGGGTGCGGATGGCGTCTTTGGCTTTGGGGGGGGTCTGCGGGCCTCATGGCAAGGGCCTTACATGCTCCTGATGACAGGAAGGGGGCCAACCAAGGGGGTGGATTTCCTACCAAATCTTGCCATACTAGAATGTAGGGAATCTGATCCGGGTGCCCCTCGCGACCCGGTAGAAAAATCTTTGACTTCACCTTAGCGATTATAGGGAGGCAAAAAGTTCCTTCGTGTGGCCATCCAACGCTGAAGGTTGGCCATTCGGAGCGGCAGAGGGTTATTAATTTTCCCCTCTGGATGTCTAGACTCAAATTCTGTCCTCTGGTTCTAACATCCCTGAAGTTAGCAACAAGGAGAGAAAGAGGAGTGCTTTGAGATTGGCCCATCTGTATCCTGGAGGTGGAGAAAAGGACTGAAAGGAGAGATAGTAAAGTTAGGAGGATTCCCGGTTGTGCCAGGCCAGGTCACCTGTGAAAGAGAAGGGGGTCAACGCTTAAAGGTTACAGAATAAAGAACACAACACATAGATCACTAGGGCGTTTCGGGTGTCTGTCACCCGAACAGAAGAATTCCGACGGGCCCAAAAAGGTGCCCCAGACAGGTGCCAGTGGACGTCTCCTACTGGACCCGACTGACTGCCCTATAGCGTGTCCGCCAGGGCTGTGTCAGTCCCCGATACAGATCCCGTGCGGGAGAGAGCCAGAAACGAACAGGCGATATGCAGACAGAAACGGACAGAGCCGGCTCACTTACCGATCGGTCTCAGGGACGACCCGTTGACTTGGGGTCTGGTGGGCTTGGGGGGGGGGGGATCCCGGACGAGCCCCCAAGTGATATGCCCTGATTTGAGAGACCCCCGAAAACACACCACCAGAGTCCAGAGTCAAAGCCAAGCAGCAAGGGTCGTTTATTGCAGGTTCGAACCCGGACCTCTGTGCACTCGTTGCCGGTGACGCTAAGAGGCCCCGAGCGAGGTTTTTACGGCACTTTTATAGACAGGCACA